TTAACTCCACTAGTCTGTTTCAAAATTTAAATAAAAATTTTCACTTTCCGTCTTTTTCGAAGTTAATAATAAGGTAGCAAAATTCGAATTTTCTTTATTGGAAAGTCGAAAAAAATAAAAAAATTTCTTGCGGAAGATCAAAAATTTCGAAGTCGTATTTTTCTTATGTATTCTACAGCTTCTATTTTTTTGAACTATTTTTTTCAATTTATCGGGCAACTAATTCCAATTAATCCAAGACGTCGAATGGAAGTATGACACTACCTTGAAATGAGAATTCTTTTTTTCTGAAGGCTTTTTGAAAAAAACTTTGAACAAAAAAATTGGACAACTAAACTTCAGGAATAACATTTTTTTTTGATAAAGTTGGGGTCTTTTTTCTAAATGAGGACGATTTTCAAAAATGTATAGGGATGAAAGAACCAGAAAGACTCGAAATAAACGAAAAAAGAAACATCTCACCCGAATATAATAAGAGAAAACGATGTTGAAAAAGTAGACGAGCAGAAATGTGAGTAATCTGCAGAGGGCCATCGTGAGATTTCTGAAATTTCGGGAATGATCTTCGAAATTCGAAAATGTATTCACAGACATTTTTCAGAGAATTAGATTGCTCGTAAGTTGATTATAGGGTGAAAAACAGTTTGAGTTGAAAAAGTTTGGATTTGATTATGACGCGAATCGTGACGGAAAAGTGGGCTGAAATCTTTCAAAAAAATAAATAACTTCTCTGAAATAAAAATTATCTAGCTTATTGGGGAGATTCGAACATTATCTTTTTTTCAAGAATTGCAAAAACTTTTAACGTTGAACTTCTGCAATAATTAATGAAGAAACAGCCTCTCTAATAATTAGATTAAAATCGAATTTTGTAGCATTTAAAATTGAAGTTTTCCTTCAAAACCCTAAAATCAAAGTTTCCTTGGTCCTCGTCGGAACCAACAAATAAACAAAAGCACGTGTATCGCAAACAAGAGCACAAATCGGAAGGAAAGTACTGGCAAATGTGATTTCGAGGCTTGCAAGCCTGGATGACGTCGCCTGGTGTAAATGACAAAACGTCATTATCGGGCAAGAATGGATCTCGAATCCTTCAAAAACGGACATCATTACGTTCATGGAAGGTCGATTTACTCTAAACTACGATGTCAAAACCTCAAGCCTAGAATGAACTCTTTCATGTCCTCCGAAGAAGGCAAAGTTCGAGGGAAAACACTTGGAAAATGAGAAGACGACATAACGAGTGAGCCGAGCCAACCGCCCAATTTTCTACAGAAGATTGCTCGAACTCACGCAACCTCTGTGTATTGTTAGAATCAAATTGACGTCATCCTTCGTCTATTCTGGTACCAAAATCTTTGGCTATTTTGAGAACTTAAAAAAATTTCTATCAAAAAGTTTATTCGTCCAGGCGAAATCATTAAACTTTTTATAAAAAAGCTTAATTTTTTCTTGTATCCGCAAACATCAACTCCTTCATCATACTGAAAGTTGCAGGTTCTGCAGTATCGTCTGTTCAAACTCCATGCCCGGGTGTTTCAAGGTGAAAAGCCTAACTTCGAGTGAAGTTTTACTAGTTTGTTTGTTTTTTTTGCTATTTTGAAAACTATAACGAAAACTTTTAAACACACTTCACTTTTATTTTTCATTTTTTGTCATAATTGTTTTTTTTTTGTCAAACGTTACGGTACGCTAAAGCACCTCCGTGCATGCAGACTCTCCGTGAGTTGTCGTGACACGTCAGGAAATGCATTTTCACAAACTTTATTTTTTAATTTTTTAACGCAACTCATTAATTTTTCTTTATTCATTTATTTTTAAAACATCAATTGAGGATGAAAGATTATATTTCTTTTTGTTCATCTGTTTTCACTTCAAATTTCAGTCTTATTTTACAGATAAAAATTTGCTCGGGTGCACCTAACTTTGCGATAAGTTCTTCAAAATGATGAACTTTGAAGTCAGCACGACAAAGCGTAAGTTTTTTTTTTCATTTGGATAACCAAATGAATTTTTAAGAGATTGGCGTCGGTTTAACAGCTTTTGGAGTGTTTTTCATCTTCCTCGGCATTGTTCTGTTCCTCGATTCAGCCTTGTTGGCTATTGGTAATGTTCGTAATTATAATTAAATAAAAACATTTCAAATGAATGATTTCAGTTGCTTTTCATCGTTGGTATCACTTTTGTGATAGGCGTTCAGAGAACTCTTGTATTTTTCTTTGAGTTCCGCAAATTGAAAGGCAGTGTCCTTTTCTTCGGAGGTTTGTGAACCATTTATTTTTTATTTTTCAACAATTTTGTTCAGGTATTTTTGTCGTGCTGCTTGGCTGGCCTTTGTTTGGAATCATCGCCGAAATTTGGGGCTTCATCCTGTTGTTCGGGTATTTTTTTAACATATTATAGAAAATTAAAAGTTTGTTTCAGCGGTTTCCTCCCGGGAATTGTCAATTTGTTGCGAAGTATTCCTGGAGTGAATGCCATCACTTACCTGCCTGGAATACGACAGGTTAGATATAAAAATTTATAGTTTATATGTTCATTTGCATCATCGAAGATTATCCTCAAATCAAAGTTTGAGAAAAAAAGTTTTATGGAGGAGTATATAATGATTTAAGTGCTATAATGGCAAAAAAATACTTACGTTTTGAACCGAAATTTAAAAAGAATTGAACTTCTAAAAAAATAAAAAAACTTTGAAAAAAAGACGGCAACTAATGAATGTATTCTATCAAGGGTCCCGTTTTTTTCATATAAGCCTTGTGATTTAATTACATTTTCTAATGTTTCAAAAATTTTTTTTATTTCAAATCGAATTGATGTTAATATGATTTAAAAAAAGACGAGACGATAGTAAAAAGAAACAGAATTTCTAAAAACTCTAAAAACTGTAAAGTTATAGCAATACGAAAAATAAAAAAACGGTTGAGGCACGATTTTTTTGGAAATTCAATTTATCGGAAAAAAACTTTCAAATTTTGAATTATTTTGTTCAATTTTTCTTAGCTGAAGTTTCAAAAGGGATTTCCAATCCTATTATTTCAAAGAAGTGAGGATTCGAACTCTCTTTTTAAACTTATTTTTCGCGTCAAAATACTTTTTTTTTATCCATTTTCCCCTAAGCTTCGCTCGATTACAAAAAAAGCGTTTTTTGGAGGTTTTGAGATGATTTTTTTTCCAAGAGCGGTTCTACTTTAAGAAAGGCCAGTTAAATTTGGATAATTTTGAAAAATCGCTCAAAAACGTTAGAATTCTCAAATAAACGTTGTAACCTAATAACTCAAATAAATACAGCTTCAGCTTTTTAAAATAGATTTTTTCGTCTTTCTGTTTTGAGTTTTTTGATGAATTTCATGGAAAAGTTAGAATTAAAATCAAAATGAAAACTCTTCTTATAAAATGGCGGAAACTGAAATCAAAGAGACTTTTTTCTAGGTCTGTGAATATTTAGATCCTCGACCGTCTGGCGCCTGAATCCAAGTACCCGGTATAAGAATATCGATCTATTTCCTCACTTTGGGTTCTTTTTGCTCCTCAATTTCGCGATTACAGGTCTTTCCTTTTTTGTACATCCACAGTTCATGTGTCTAGGAATTATCTTTTTTGTTAAAATATAGATTTTCTGTGGAGACGAGGTGCTGAAAGAGGCTTTTTTTATATTTTTTCGAGCCTTTTTTGAAGATTGGGTCAGTTTTTCTCGATTTTTTCTGTGATCCCGTTTCTCTTTGTCCTTAATTTATTTGGTTTTTTATTTATTCATTATTTCCTTTTTTTGTACAATGTCTTCGTCTCGTTCATTTTTTATTCTTATTTCTTTTATCTAATCTTTTTTTGACCTCATATAGCTTTAGAAGATTTTCGCTACCTGTCTATTTTTATAAACCGAGTTACGCATTGTGATTGTTTATTTATTCTCTTATTGATTTTTTTATCATCGCTGATTGTACGATTGCACGAGGAGATTTCAGAAGATAAACTTTTATTTTTTAATATGATTTTTTTTGAAGTTCCTGTTCAACTCAAAAAAAGTACTTGATTTAGGTTTACTCGAGTTTAATTTAAATGGACATTTCTTTTTTTTCCTATTTTTCTAGAGTTTCTGTGAAGAACAGCAGCTGAGATAATCTGCTCGACTTTTCATTTTTTTTTTATTATTGAGTGTGAACTGATGAATTAGAACTTCTCGAACTATCCTTTTACTCTTTCTTCACTCACATGTCAATACCTAGGTCTCTGATTGTATTTTCCATTATTAGGTAGTAAATTGATATTTTTTGGAAATCGTTCTGCAAATTCTTTGGGGAATATTTTCTTTATTTTCAATCCTTTTCTCGATTTCACAATAATAGAACGAAAACTAGCATTAAGGAGCATACAGAAGCTCCAAAAAGTTGGAAAATGGAATTTTTTTCCTCAAGATTCCATGCCTACACTATTGAGAATATTTTTGATTCAGAGCCAAATAAAAGAATCAAAACAAGGCTTTTTTCGTTTCAGGTTGATAAATGGAGAACCTTCCTTCAAGGTTATTATTAAGCTTCTCCTTTACCCAAAAATCTCCGGTGAATAAAAAGACGGGTACATTTTTTCACTGGCTTGACTAAAATACTATGGGGCTTCATGAAACTTCCGACCCAAAGAGTATTTTCAGAAACCATCAGTTTTTTTTTCATGATAATTTGTTGTGTATCCCACAAAGATTGAACTTTGACCCTCAAAGATAAGCTGCATAGTCCCCTATCAAATCTATCGCATCAATGAAAGCTGCGAAAAAAGAACCAGTTCCAAGTTGTCGTTCCCTACCTTTCCCAGCTTTAAAAAGAAAGATTCTCCGCACCTTTTGTAACAAAAAGACAAACAACCGATCAAAGTGCGTTTTCGGATCGGAAAGAGAGAAAACCGTCTCGTAACCCTTTGGGCGTTGTTTCTTCTCGGTTCGTTCTTTTTTTTTTCTGACAAATTGCCCAGATTTTTGTTGTGTTGGACGCGGAAAGCTTCGCGTGTCGCCGTGTGATTTCACGCCTCGACGTGACAAGGTGACGTCTTCTGATGATTCAAGTGTGCTTCTGCCTTTCCGACGTCAACCGGGCTTCTTTTAGAAGTGGAACGCTGAATCTTACAATGGATCTTTCGGACTTTTGACGGTCATTGGGTCCAAAATTATCTTGCGAAAAAGGGAATTTTCTCGATTCGAATTTGAAATTGTAGGCTAGAAAGCTGCTTCAAAATTAGACCGAACTAAAAAAACTTCACCGAAAAAAATTTTTAGGTCATCAACTATGTCAAAAGTCAAGTGCGATGTGAAAACAAAGAAAACTATAGTTAATTTTTGAGTTTTCAAGAATAAAAAAATGAAACTGAAAAAACAGTAAACGTTACGAAAAAAAAGAAGAATGCACAAAAGAACAGTTTTTACCTGAAAAACAGCTACACGGGCAAAGTCTAGAAGGACCTAAAAAAAAACCTTTTCAAAAAAGGCCTTACAGGAGCCTTTTTCTTGACCTCTTTCCTGGAAGGACCTTATTAGAAGAAGAAGTAGAAGGAAAAAAAGAGGTTTCAGAGAAGTTTTGACACCTTTTAGGGACTCAAATAGTACCTCTAGACTTTTTTCTTGAGGCCTTTTTGAAGCCTTTGGACTTTGCCCAAGTTTTAGCGCCTTCTGGACTTTTCCCGTGCTTCAGAAAGTGAAAAACTGAAAAAAACTGAAAAAAACCTTCCACTACGGTTTGTGCCTGAACTCTGAACACTCTGAACTTTTTCGTATCACAAAGAAGAATCTACGGAATGGAACGTTTCGGAATAAAATTCGGCGAACTGTAAAAGTTTATTTCACGAACTGAAACTGATCGAAAAACATCACGAGTTTAGAGAAGAAATCAGAAAATTTTGCCAACAACTGATCTTTTTTTTTACAATCACGTGGGATTTTTCGATTTCGAATGATCATTGTTTTCTTTTCCATTTAGCGGCTTTTCTTCAGAATCACGTGCGAGATTGATAAAGGCTAACAGACAAAAAGACTTTGGGAAAGGAGAAGACGGGTTCCTTTCGATGGTTCTCTGTTCAGCGAACTCGGCTCTACCCATTTTTCCTTTCTCTTGAAACTTAAGATTTAGTTTAAGCTGGGAAGAAGCTGTTAGAAGCATTTGAAAAGTTCATTTCTTTCAAAATGAGTTGAAGAATATCATATAAAAACATTTTTTTCTTTAAAAAAATTATTTTTCAGGAAAAATTCTCTCTCATGAATCGGTTGATTATAATCAGTAGCTATAACTTTCCTCATATGACTCCTTTTTGTGTGAAAAACCAAATTATAAAGAGAAAATGGATTCGAATTGAGGGAGGAAACGAAAACCTATAGTCTATAGTTTACCTAATGAATTCCTTATTGAAAAAGAAATTATGAAAAAGAAATTTGAAATTAAAATTTCGAGCATTTTTCGATGAAGAAATTCACTGTTAACAGATTTTCTGAGTGAATTCACACTTATTTTTTCTTTGATTTCCAATTAGTTTCACCTTTAAAAAGCACCTCATTTTTGAAAATTTCAGGCAAAGTTCGGAATCGAAGAGAAAAAAATTTATACTGTGTGTTAAAAAAATTTTTGCAAGCTGAAGCTTTTTCGTAAAAAACGTATGCTTTATGAAGAAAAAGCAACTTTTTGAAAAAAATCAGAAAAACTCCAGAAATTCATTACCCCCGACCAAAAAAATATTCACGATGCTGTTAAAAATAATATTTTGATCTAACCAGGTAAAAAAATGCGATGAAAAAAATAGTATCTTCCTGAAAAAGTTCCAGCATTTTCTGACCCCGACCAGCGACTGACATTTTGCCCTAGACTCAAAGCGACAATGAGATAGATCATTGTGTTTTACGCCATTAACGACTTCTTGCGTTCCACGAGTTCTCAGCCAAAAAAAAGAAAGATGAAAGAGAATACGGCGAAGAAGCGACGACAGAGATCGGCGGGGCGTTACGTCTGCGCAGTTCAGAACCGAGTCGAGAAGACCAACTTTCATCTGTCAAACACACTTTTTACCTACGCCGATTAATTACCTACCTTCACATGGGGCACCGACTTCATTTGAAAATTCTTGGGAACGCTATAGTGGTCTCTATAGGGGTTCTAGGAAGGAAGGCCCAAAAAGGGACAAAAATGGCACCCTGGAGCCTCTAGTCAATTTAGGGATCCCTGTAGGGGTTTCGGGTCCGAAAACTGAGTCCCTAAAGCTCAAATGGTCCCTATAGGGGCTTTTCATTATTTTTTTTTTCAGATACGAACATTAAAAAAATACGTTATCAACAAAAACTTGATAAATTAATTCTTTGTTTTTTTTCTCTTTTAAAAAAACAAACTTATTGAGTTTTTGGCAAGATAATGCTTCTTCTCATGGATTCAAAAAACAATAATTGACTAGATTGTACCCTATAGGGGCCACTTATGCAAGCTTTGATGGCCCTACAAGGATAGGCGAAGCGGTCCCTAGAGGGGAACTTCGAGGGCCCCCAAAGTTGCTCCTATTGGGACTACCCCCCAGTTAATAAATTACCTTGTCAAAAAAAAATTCCACTGCAAAGGAAAATATAATTTTCAAATATTTATTTGTTAGGTGGTGTGACTGTTATTTGTCACCAGGAAGAAGAAAAAAATTTGCAAAACATGTGATTGATTATTCGGTAAATTTATGTACAAGTTTTCGTCTTCTAAAGTTCATTTTTGAAATATTGTCAGTAAAGTTCAAGGAGAAGAAAGAAATATCCGCTTACTACTGCTTTTTGAAGAGAGTAAGATCCGACTATGGGTTTTCAATATATTTTTCTAAAAAAACAAAGACCGGATGATAAAATTTAACTATTGAAAAGTGAAATCAAGCATTTGAAAGCTCAAAAAAATCAAAAAAATTATTATTCCTGACCTTCTAATGGTCGCACATAGAATGGCTCAAAGCTTCGCGGTCGCGTTGCGTATGTGATCGGGGATACGAAAGGTCAAATTGACTCACTGGGAAGTTTTAAGGGGCCAGTATAAAGGCTCGCCAAGGACTACTTGGGCACTAAAGTGGCCACTAAACCCACCTCTATAGTGGCCTCTACTTTCCGTTTTAGTGACCACTATAGAGATTCTCTATTTAGTGGTCACTTCAGTAGTTTTTCATCCAATATCTATTTCATCCAATATTCCTCCCAGCAACTCTGATAATTTTAAAACAAACAGATTGGACCAGTTATGTTGATTTATTGACCCCTAAAAGGGCCACTAAAATTTTTAGAGGTCTAGTAGTAGCACTTAGACCTCTACAGTGGCCTCTAATTCTAACCACTTTAGTAGCCACTAATTTGACTACTATAGTGGCCACTAAACGTCAAAACCCTATAGTGACCACTAAAAATTTTCCCAGAATGTTCTAACCTCTTTCACGCTTCTGCGCTATACCGTTTCAAGTCGGGCGCACATCATAGAGAGGTCATCACCCCTCAAGATCTCCCAC